TACTTCATAATATAATAAATAATAAATGATAATTGTAACGTCCAAAATGTTTTACTGCATTTTCCCTTTTTCGTTTAATAAATTGGGTAATACGCGTGTAATGGTGACTAAAGGGTGTTTTTTCATGTCCTCTATGCTCTAACTTCGAAAATACTTGATTTACAAATAAGGAATCCTACTTGGCGGAATTTCATTTATCACGGTAGGGTCTAGAACCGATTAACCTCGATAAACGAGGGTTCACTGTATAGCAAAATGAATTAGGAAGCAATCAATTTTGAGGATTTAACTTTTGTAGTAAAGTGAGGTGCATAGTTTAAATAACTGAGTTTAACAACTGGGTCTCAGAATTCCTAAAAATGTAACCACAGACGCTGTTACAAGTGCATCTCTCCAGGATCTGTGGCCAGCCTGGTATTCGGCCTTGCTTTCCTTCCTGCGTGGCTCCGCCCTTTAGATCGATACGCTGGTGTCACAAAACATTTACCTTCACCTTCGTCCTCAGACTGCGTAACTGTCTCGGCTGTTTTCCTGGCACATCTTCAGCTTGCCCAACGCCTACTTATCTTTGGAGGTTCAGACAGAGAATCATTGCCTTTCTAGACCGTTTTCCTCCTCCTGAAGCTCTCCTCTGGGTATAACTGTGCCCAGACAAGTGCCTGGTGCCTGCTTTTCCCTTGAAGACGGACTGGCATTTATTGTTTGCATATTTGGCTATGCCACTCGGCCGTGTTATCCTTTCTCATTCATTTTTGTGTCTCAGACCTATAAGCCCTGAAAAAGCTTGTTGAAAAAAAATCAGCAGTGCCCTCGGTAACTGTTGGCTTCAGGCAGTTTCTGCCTTCACCACCCAGATGTTTCTTCTCTGAAGACTTTGTTTGGAGTTGTGGCCTCTTCTAACCTAACAGGTGCTACTTGCCACTGTGTCCTTCCCAGAACCATGAGCTCAATCATTCACCGAAAGTACCCCAACTAGACTGTTACAACGGGAGGGAATCACATGACTTACTTAATACAATCTGCAAAAAAAAAAAAAAGGGTGGAGGGTTGATGGGGAAGGCAGATGTATGCCTTTAGGAATTGTTCCCAGCTTTATGGTTCACCGCACCATCTCTTTTAGAACCATCTCAGGCAAGGAAAAAGTAAAGTGCTTTCTGTTGGAGTCTATATACCCTTTATCTCAGGTTGACACTAATCTTATGACAGCCACCTAAGATGTAGATAGATAGATAGATAGATAGATAGATAGATAGATAGATAGATAGATAGATAATAGATAGATTATAAAAGCACACCCACTGCCGTTGCGTAGATTGCGTCTCATGGTACACAGAGCTCCTGGATCTTTCACAACCCTTTGTCTTTTACTGCTCTCTCTCCCAAGCCTCCAGGCAAACCACCCACAGATTTACTAAGTAATTAAATTTTCATTAGTCCAGGCCCCAGTCCGGCAGGAGGTTTTTTTACTTAATACGTTATTATTTGAGAAGTCATTTCCTACGTAGCTTCTAATGAGTTTCCCCCAGGGACCGAGGACCAGCCCATGTGCTAGAGCAGCTTGCTCAACTGTGTCGCGGTCCATGAGTCAGTCTGTCTTAGAGACACGGAGGTGTTTTGCTTTCCTCTTCCCACTTCCAACATCCAGCCTGGAACCTGGCACATTTAAGCACTCAAGAAATAGTTATTGAGTGAAGAACTCCGACCAACTAGCCCCATTGCCCTAGAATAGAAGAAGAAATGAACCAAAGGACATCTATTTGGGTGTGCTTGACATGAAAGGCACCCAGAGCCTCACATACATGCAAGACCAATGAGACTCAACCTTTCCCTGTGAGCGGCTTACAATCTAGTCTCTTGTGTGCTTATGCCAAGCACACAGTTATGACTCCCAGTATGGCGGTGAGCCTTGGTGGCTTTAACGGAAAGGAAATAGATGAAATCTTGCCCCCTTTTATCAAAACTTTCGATGGAATGAATCCTCGGTACCTTTGAGCTCTGCTTCCTTTACAGCACTTACTGAGTTTCTTTTGGTTAAAATAGCCGTGAAAAGAAAAAAAAAAAACCCACCTCCCTTCCGTGCATAAATTAAACGGAGACGCAACCATTCCCCATGAGGATGGAAGTTTCAGAATGAAATCTCAGGGCTGCGAGCTGAACAAAGTCATGATTGCGTCTCTCAGCTCCTCCCCTCCTGCCCTAGACAATTGTCATCTCTGACCGAGGAAAAGTGGTTTGCCTACCCCTGACAGATGGACAGTTGCAGATGGACCCTCCCAGGGGCCCCAACCCATTGTGCGGCTGCACGTTGGCCTGGTAGACAATTGGCCAGACTCCCGGGAGGAGGGGAGTGCTGGCAGAGGGGGGTGGGCGGGCTTGGCTGACACCAGAGGGGGATGGCTTTGGGGCCCCGCTCTTAGCAACAGCCCTGTTTGATCCTCCTCAGCCCTGAGAAAATCAAATCAGTGTCCACTTCTTCCAGGCACGATGCCACAGCAGCAGCCCAACGTCAAGGCGGCCGTCCTCCCTGCCTGTTAACCACAGGCGCTCTCTGATCTCATGGTCCCTGCCTTTGCAAAGTGCTACTGAGAAGGGAGACGAAAGGACACCGCCCACCCCCTCGCTGCGGCCCTGGGTCCAGGCTTGACTGTGAGTCCTCTGGCTTCATCTCCTCTCCCGGGAAGGCGAGGGGTCTGAGAGCGGGGTCCCAGCCCCCTGGTCCTGCCGGGGGCTTTCTTCTTTTATTCTAGAGCCCTCGGCGCCCGGCTGCGCGCAGCTTTCCCATTTGTAGGTGAAACCCTATTGGCTTCCCAGGCTCCTGGATTTAAACCACGCCCGGCTTTCCGTCCGCTCGCTGCCTGGGGGCCAGGTCGTCCGGCAGCCCCAGCCCAGCCCGGAGGGAGCCGGGGCGGCGGCGGTGCTATTGTGTGCATGCCGCGCGGGTCTTCTTCTCTCCTGGTCCAGAGATGGCGAACCGGGGCCCGAGCTACGGCTTAAGCCGCGAGGTGCAGGAGAAGATCGAGCAGAAGTATGACGCAGACCTGGAGAACAAGCTGGTGGACTGGATCATCCTGCAGTGCGCCGAGGACATAGAGCACCCACCCCCGGGCAGGGCCCAGTTTCAGAAATGGTTGATGGACGGGACGGTAAGGGCGGCCTCGGGCTTTGGGACCCGGGCCCTGGGCACCGACACCTCCCGGGGCCCTTTGTTTTAGCGCCAGGCTGCGGGCTGCGGGGCGACGCTGCTGTTGCCACGCTCCGGGTCTCCGCGAGGATGGGGATGCTTTTATTCCCGGCGGGGCTGGAGCATTCGAGCGGACTGCACAATTCCCTAGCTAGTTAGAGGATTCCCCACCCGTTCCGCCGAGTTGCTGCCAAAACCAGTAGTGCCCTTTTCCCAAGAAGAAGAGAGGACTCTTGCTTTGTAGCCTCCTCTCTGCCTCCTTGGTTAATTCAGCTCGTGGGGGGTAGGCGGGTGGGGGACCTTTCATTCCCCCAGGGGAGTGAATGGCTTGGACGGTGAAACAAAGGAAGGATTGGGGAGCCAGTGCGCGGGTGGTCACTAGGTTTAAGTGGATGTGTTCTCGTGAAAAACTAGAGTTTTTATTTCATGACCTATGTTTTGA